ACAGAGCAGAGAAAAAAGGTACCTTAAGTGAATATGTGGGAGGCAGCTTTTCAAAGAAAATTGTAAATTTAAGAAAAGAGACATTGATCTTTCTTTGAAAACAATTAACATCCCAGCTCTTGAAATCCTGCTGCTCTACAGCTTCTCAAAACAATGTTACAGCTGCATGTGTTTAAACAGATCACATTTAATGACTGTTTTTTTTAAATATTATGATTCCAGCTCCAGGTAAATAAACTAAAAGGCAATAGAGGAATTTGGTACAGCCTGGTGTGAAGCACAACTGACTTGTTCTCTCGCATTGTCTATATGGGTTTTTCCTGTAGAGAGGGTAGGGAGGTCTATAGGAGATCAAAAATCCTGACAATGGATACAACTGTGCAATTTAAGCCCTGCCCACCTTTTATATGAATTGGGTGTGCAATATACATTTGGGACTAGACTTTAATTACACAATCACAGACGCCACCTCTCCCCCACCTTCTTCAGGTACCAAACAGTTTTAGATACTAAACAGACAAATATCGATGTTAGGCTAATCCTAGGTGCTTGACTTACGCCTCAGCAAATGGGTTTCCCTAACATGGGTTTTTTTTTTGGGGGGGGGGGGGAGAGGAGAGGATTACTGAATGAATTTAGTTGGGTGTGTGTGTGTCACACAATCTGTTAAATCATAAATCAATCAGATAGACTAAAAATTTGCCCAACATACAGGTAGTCCTCAACTTACGACCGCAATCGAACCCAAAATTTCCGTTGCTGAGCAAGCGTTGTTAAGTGAATTTTGCTCCAGTTTACGACCTTTCTTGCCACAGTTGTTAAGGGAATCACTGCAGTTGTTAACAGAGCAACACGGTTGTTAAGTGAATCTGGCTCCCCCATTGACTTTGTTTGTCAGAAGTTTGCAAAAGGGATCACATGACCCCAGGATGCTGCAACCGTCATAAACATGAGTCGGTGGCCAAGCATCTGAATTTTGATCGCGAGATGCTACAATAGTTATTAAGTGTGAAAAATGGTAATAAGTCAGCTTTTTCAGTGCTGTTTTACTTCGGTCACTAAATGAATGGTTGTATGTTGAGGATTACCCGGTAGTCAAATTCCCAAGAACAAAATGCAAAGGTTTAAGGCTAACCCTATCCCAGTTTATGAGTTGTACAAATGAAGTTCCAAAGCAAGGGTCTTCCAACTTGGCAAGTTTAAGACTTGTGGACTTCAACTCCCAGAATTCCTGAGCTAACATGACTTGAGGAGGAATTCTGGGAATTGAAGTCCACAAGTCTTAAAACTGTCAAGATTGAAGGCCCCTGTTCCAGAGTCTTCAAATGAGTCCCCATTGAGCTTGTTCTGTAAATGCAGCAAAAGTGTTGTGTGAACTCAGCCAAGGTGCCTGGAAGGCCTCACAGAAATCAAGATGGTGGCCAGGAGGACCCCATTAAAAAAAGGGCGGGAGTTCAGCCACAGCCATCATCTTAACTTTGACAGAAGTGGTTTGATGATGATCCCCAGAAGCACAAACTAGCTAATCATGTTTCAACCAGGCTATGATGAAATGTGTTTTGACTCAGAGAAGGAGGAATGCTTAGCCATTACAAAACATATGATTGATTCCCAGTAAAGAATAAGAACCTCAAAACAATTCTGGCTTGATTGTATTCGGTACGTGTTGAAATAGAGAAGTGCTTTCAATAAGCTTTAAAGATTTTCTCCTACTACAACATCAAAGTTCACTTAAATCACATTCGTGACTCCTAAACAACTCTTGGTCCCTAATCTTGCCTACCTTGCAGGTCTGATGCAAGCATTTCACTGTTTGCAAATTGCACATTGGGCAATGTTTTGGCAAAACGCCAGGTAGAGAACATTATGGTCTGGATAAGGAATCCAGAGCCAGATTTAAATCTAATGAGACCCTAAACCAGTTTTTCTCAGCCTTGGCATCTTTAAGATGCATAAACTTCGATTCCCAGAATCTGCCAGGCTGGGGAATTCTGGGAGTCGAAAGTCCACGCATCTGAAAGATGTCACGGTTGAGAAGCACTACCTTTAACTATGGAAAGCTGTAGAAATTCCCCTTGTGGAATATTAACAGACAACAAAACATTAGAATGATTGAGGACGGCAAGAAGGCCACCACAATATTTAGCAAACTGTATTGAGATGGGGAAGAGTCCTCTTTGAACGGAAGGCATGGATGCCAGGCACAAAAAGAGCAGCCATTCAATTAGTAACTGTTTAAAGCAGGGGTGTCCAACCTTGGCAACTTTAAGACTTGTGGACTTCAACTCCCAGAATTCCTCAGCCAGCTTAGCTAGTTTGTGCTTCTGGGGATCATCATCAAACCACTTCTGTCAAAGTTAAGATGATGGCTGTGACTGAACTCCCGCCCTTTTTTTAATGGGGTCCTCCTGGCCACCATCTTGATTTCTGTGAGGCCTTCCAGGCACCTTGGCTGAGTTCACACAACACTTTTGCTGCATTTACAGAATAAGCTCAATGGGGACTCATTTGAAGACTCTCGAACAGGGGCCTTCAAACTTGACAGTTTTAAGACTTGTGGACTTCAATTCCCAGAATTCCTCCTCAAGTCATGTTAGCTCAGGAATTCTGGGAGTTGAAGTCCACAAGTCTTAAAGTTGCCAAGGTTGGACACCCCTGCTTTAAAGTTAAAACAGCACTGAAAAAAAGTGATTACGACCGTTTTTCACACTTACAACTGGGGCAAAACTCACTTGGCAATTACCTTGCTTAGCTACAGAAATTTCGGGCTACCTGTATTTATTTTCATGAACGAAGGTTTTACACATCACATCATCCTGATTATCCTACTCCTGTCATGTCCTCCCCTTAGTGACCATTCAAAGTTACATCACTGAAAACAGTGACTTATGATCATAACCGCAGAGTCCCAAAATCATGCGATCCTTTTGATGAGCAAAATCAATAGGGAAGGCAGATTCACTCAACAGCCTGTGTTACTAACTTAATAACTGCAGTGATTCACTTAACAACGGTGGCAAGAAAGGTCATTAAAAAGGGACAAAACTCACTCAATGCCTCGCTTAGCAGCATAAATTTTGGGCTCAATTGTGGGCGTAAGCCAAGGACTGCCTGTACTGTCCTTCTGTCAGCTTCTGAGAAGTCTGTTTCCTGGATTTGCATAACACAGCAAACCATAAATCAATCATACAAGTGATATTTCTCTTGCACACTGAGTCACACATTTGCCAACCAGGTTTGAGCTTAGCCTGAGTTGTGTAAACCCAGCCCATGTGCCTAGTTACAGTTTTGTGAAAAGCAGCTGAGGAAAACCATGGGTGGGGCCCCCACAAAAGTGTGAGAAAGACTGTGTTCTGACCACACATTATCCGATAAAACGAAAGCAGCCTCCCTTTGCAAGCTGCTTTGACCTCCAGGAAGAAAATCTGGCTACGGATTTAAAAAAAACCCTATGATTAATTAAACCATGGTTTGCTGAATTGACCAGGGTGTCAGGGATTGCACTAGACAATGAACCACAAACTAAGGAGCCAAGCTTGACATCCAAGATTATGATTCAATGTGTTATGTGAAGCTGGAAAAGTAGAATGAATCAAAGCTGGTGGGCTGAAGCCAACCACAGTTTCACACCAGAGGAAAACGTTTAAACTTCAGAAAGGCCTTTATGTTCGTTCAAAGATGTCCAACCTTGGCAACTTTTAAGATTTATGGACTTCAATTCCCAGAATTCTCCAGCCAGCCAGACTCTCTGGAGAATTGTGGGAATTGAAGTCCACAAGGCCTTAAAGTTGCCAAGGCTGGTCACCTCCTGTATTAGTTCTATCTATTTAGGTATGTGCTTATAACTAAGTGTTGTACAAAACTTAATTTTCTCCCATCACCACAACAATTGTGCAAGGTAGGCTAAGCTGGCAGGGAGGGGCCAACCAAAAGGACCTTCCAGGACTTGGGGAGGGTTTTGCAAAATCTTCCTCCCTCCAACTCTTGACCCACCATCTGACCCGACTTAGACCTCACTTTTCTTTCTCCAAAACCACTTCCGATGCTTACACACACACACACACACCACGCCCCATTTAACGGGCCTTTATTATTAGGGCTCGGCAGGGCAGGCTGGTAAAGCTGTGGGCTGTTTTGGTTTGCAGACTCACACACAGCGGGCGGGGAAGGAGGACGCCGCGGGGGGGGGGGGTTGTGTTTCTTTTGTGTGTGTGTGTGTGTGTGGAGAGAGAGAGAGAGAGAGAGATGCGGGGCCTAGCTCTTCCTCCCCCCATCAAAACTACAACTCCCAGCGTCCCTTTCGGCTTTGACCTGGCGCCAGCTGATAGAGGGATTTATATATATATTTATTTAAACAATTAAAAAAAATAGAAAAAGAAAAGAAGCCTTGAAAAGAGAAAGCTAGACGAGGCGAGTTTGCAGCGGCGGCGATTGAATATTTTTGGGGGGGCTGTCCTTAGCCCCCCCCTCCCCCCCCAAAAAAACAAAATAATCCTTTCCTTGCTAGGAAGACGCGAGGACTCCGCGGGGG